ACTTACACACTGTCGTAATATAGAGTATTGTATTGTATGTGGATTGGTTAATGTTATATTATTTGTGTTGGAATATATTCGACCTTTCTAATTTAAAATTTTCGGGTTTCAAACTTCAATTACTTACATACTGGTGTGAGTATTTAAGTTATATAAGTTTATGTCTTTTTAAGATACTAATTTTTATGGCTGTATTATACTTACAATCCTTCAACTAATTTATATGCTTCTTTTGCCCATGCATCATCTAGTTTAATTCTTAATAAGTTTATCAAGTCGATAATTGATTTTTCATACCTTTCTGTCATATAATTAATTTCCCCTCGATATCTTAGTGCTGTTTCTAACAATTTCTTTAAGTTGGCAATTCCCTCTTCCTCTTCTTCCTCTTTCTCTTCTTCCTCTTTCTCTTCTTTTCCTCCTCCTTCTTCCTCTCCTTTTAGGAATCCAATTAATTCAGTTAAATCTTCACACGCTTCTTTGTATCTGCCTTTAATTAAGTGAGCTTTTCCTCGAGATATTAGTGAAAATGTATCATTTGGTTTATTTTTTAATTCATCTACGTTTTGATCAAAGGTTTTAGAATTGATCCAGCATGCTTCCCATAATTCTTTACCAATAATATCATTAGTCATTGCTATCCATAAATAAACATTATCATTATTGAAAACTTTAATTATGCACCAAAATTTAATGGTAAATAAAATTTACTTAAATATTTAAACTTTTTATGCCCAAAATTCGCTTCGACAAACGCGTCTTGTGATCTTAGTCCAATACAAGGATACAAATTATTTTTTAAATTATCTAAATCATTAGGAAGAGAATACCGTATACGACGGGCCAAACCACCCCCTGTCATAAAATAATTATCGGTCATGCGGATATTTAAATGGTGCATATGATACAGTCAACTCTTTTTATACCGAACTCTTGAGTCTGGCCAAAAAAAAAAGTTCGTTATAACAAATTACTATGTTTTCTTAAGAGCTGTAGCTTTTTTTTATACTGAACTACTATTAAAATTTCAAATTTTGGGTTCGTTATATCCAAAGTTCATTATAAAAAGGTTCGTTATATCCAGAGTTGACTGTAGTTTATTTTTGTATACGTACCAGTAAAGGCAATTGTTCTGTGATCCGATATGCACCATAAAAAAATCCGCATAATCCGACAGGGGAGTGGTTTGGCCCGTCGTATACGGTATTATACTTCTATACTATTTTTTCAAATTAAAGTTATGTATGTATTTTATAAAGTTTAGCTATATTACAATCACAAGAATTCTTTCATTTTCTTTTATTTTCTTTCTTTATTCTTTGGCAAACCATGTTAACAACTTAAAAATTCGGTACAACATTAAAAGGGTAAAAAAAGATATAATCCAAAAGAGATATAAAAACTCCGGATCAGCCCGAATCTGAAAACTGGATTTAAATGTTAAAATTAAAATCCGAAATTTATTAGACAAATAAGTATATATACAATATTTTAAACCTTTGTAATGAAAAGAAAAATTTTCCGTACCCGATACGTAAAGAAATTTTTATTTGCCGATAATTGTATTAATTAATTGAAATAAATTAATGTTATAGGTACGTATGTATTGAATACATTCAGTTATTTGTAACGTAACCTTTAAAATAATAAAGACAGAAGTAATTCTCCTATGAGAATTGTTACATAAACGTTTCACATCCTTACACTAAAAATATATCAACGTGAACCTGTCCTACAAACACGTTCTATTTACGTACATACCATTTTTGTCTAGTCAAAAAATGAAGCAGTTTTAAAAAGATCCTCACTTGTGTATAGCAATAGATAATTTAATTCCAATGAGGCGATTTCGTTTAAGGGCACTAAATGTTACTTTAGTGATATTTCTTTTTTTAGAAGCCTTTCGATGTTTTATAAATTCAGGCATGTAAGACCTTTATTTTGCAAACTTTATGATTTTACTTACCGAGAATTCTTGTGAATTTAGTAATAGCCGATGACAGTCTTTTCTATAAAAGACTTTATGAAGAATTATCACCATTTTCGTGTGTTAGAATGTTGAATTCTACAGGGGTCATTGGATGTCAATGTAATTTTTTAATTTGGATACGATTTGGTTTTGATAGCACGCTAATATTGTTCTTACAATCGTGTTCTGTTTACATAGCATTAAAACCAGTAACTGGACTATTATATCCAATAAATACTGCTGACGATATTAAAACATTTATTGGACGAGACTTGAATGGCAAATTTGCTGTTGTTATGCCTTATGAGTTGATGAAAATGTAGGTTTTGTAATTGTTCTTTCAAATGGGATCTTTGCTAGGAAGATCATATGATTTTCCTAGTAAAGGTCTAAAATGATTTCTTAAATGGGTAGTTTTTTTTTTGTTTTTTTTTGAATATTACCAGAAATTTTTGGTGTGATTTGTGATAATGCGATTAGAGCTTCGAATTAAATCATTTCAGCTTGTGTTCAAAAAGTTTCTAATTGTTCACAGACAAAAGGAAATAGCAAAATTCGCATCTTAGCACAAAAACAATGTATATAGTTAG